CTGATACCAGAACAATGTACTTAATTACAGTAACGAAGTATTTGTACTCCACTACTTCCCACCTCGGTTTATAACAGAGTAAGGGTCTATTCAAGTGACATAAATAAAGTCAAATAATAAAAAGATCCGCATGTGTTATGAAAACTCACCGCTAGAGGACAGTCTTTCAAAACAACACTGGATGCAAGCTACCGCTAAAGCAGCAGACGAAGAAGAAGCCTCAGTAGCCATTATGTAGAATGTAGAACTCTTCGGTCTGAAAACAGATTGTTCTCCCCTAGAAACAGAGACCCTGCACCGGGGAGACCAGCACCGCCAACAGGACGTCTATAAACCCCACCCGAGGAAGTGTGTGTGTTGTTTTTAAAGACGATGAGGCAGCCACACACACACCGGATGTGTCCTCTGAGGAAAGAGATAAAATGAAAGGTAAAGGAGCCGAGTTGTGCTCCATGGAGGCTGGAAACAGTGAGGTGATTCTGTGTGATCCTAACGACTGTGTGGACAAGAAAACGGACCATGTTTTCAACCTGCTGTCCCTGAACGACACCGTGAACAACCAGCACCATCACACCGTGGAAGACGTGGTTCTCACAAACAAATATGGCGATAAGATCTGCGGTCAGATCTGCACGGAAAACAACGAGAGTAAACTGGTCAGGGGGGTGACGTCACATGCATTGATTTCAGGCACTTCTTCTTCGTCATCTTCTTCATCGTCTTCTTCTTGTGAAGCCATGGACACCTCGGGGTTTATTTCAGGGCTGCAGCAGGAGGGTGTAAACACGGCCTCGTCCACTGGTCCTGGATCTGCTGCTGCTGGGGAAACCTTCTCCGGAACCATCACCATAAACAACCAAAGCATCATAGTGACTATAGAGAACGGGATTCTCACTCTGGCTGCCCCCCCGGAGGGATATGTGCACAAGGAGGACGACATGGTGAGTTTAAAGGAGCACCTGGGCATGAAGGACCATGAGGATATTGTGCTGCTGAACTACGACAGTGGCACTAAGTCCATTGGGAAAATCAGCACCTTAGCAGTGACCAATCAGCAGGAAGAACCCAGAGCTGGTTTGTCTGTCAGTGAGTCCGATCTGGCTCTGGTGGATGATTGCTCTCTATCAGATCATGGCACTTCTTTGGCTGCTATTGTGAAGCAGGAGGCAGGGGGTGTGTGTGCTGTCACTGAGGCAGATCTGGTCAACCCGTGCCCTAAAAACTCACTCACAGACTGTGATAATGCTGATTTCCAGTCGTTACCCCTCATCAGGTCCAAAAAAGACACGTTGGTGCCCATTGGGTGTCCTGAACCGGGCTGCGCTTTCACGTTTGATTCACGACAGAAACTGAAAGTGCATCTTCTGAACCACGCAGAGGACCCGAGGCCGTATCAGTGCACGGTGCAGGGCTGTGGGTGGGCTTTCGGCACTTCTTACAAACTAAAAAGGCACCTCCAGTCCCATGACAAGCAGAGGCCGCACACCTGTCAGTTTGAAGGCTGCGGGCGGCGGTTCACCACCGTCTACAACCTGAAGGCTCACGTTAAGGTTCACGAACAGGACAACGCCTTCACCTGTGAGATCTGCAGCGAGAGGTTTCGCAGCGCCACGCGACTCACCAACCACCAGAGGGTCCACTTCGAGCCCCAGAGACCCCACAAGTGTGAATTCCCAGGTAACACAAAGTGGATTTGAATGTATCTTGCCTTTATTTGTGAGTATACGCCATCAGGTGTTGGCTGAGGCTCTGGTGCCGGAAGCTGTGTGTTTCATGATAGTCTATACACACATTACATGCCTGGTAAGCATGTGCAACACTTTGAACAGATTGAAAAGAAACACTACTGCAATGAGCGCCCCACAAACAACACACACACACACACACACACACACACACACACACACACACACATGCATGATAACAACACAAGTGTATGACTCTTTGTGTACGCTATCTTCAGAACATTTAAAACAAGCTATCCTAACACAACCTGGTGGTGACACGTCCCCCAGCGTCCTCAGTATGAAGGATGCTTGTCTATCAGTCTGATGCTTTATCCCTAACACCACCTCCCGCTCTCTCCCTACACGTTCAGGCTGTGAGAAAACCTTCATCACCTTCAGCGCTCTGTTCTCCCACAACCGCACTCACTTCAGAGAGACGGGACACTTCACCTGCTCCTTCCCCGGCTGCGACAAGACGTACGACAAGGCCTGCCGCCTCAAGATCCACATGAGGAGTCACACGGGTGAGGCTTTGAGACTCTGGATCAACACCAGTGGTATTATGAAACCCTCTCTGTTGTTCACCTCTTCTTCTCAGAGATGTTCTCAGGCTGAGAGAGAAAGTCATTCTTCCCTCACATGATGCTGCAAATGTGTTGCTCTCGGTCCGATTCGAGCAGCTGCTTGTTTTCAAAACATTACATTCCTAAGCTAGTCACTGAAAGCAAGCATATGTTCTGAGTCCTTTAAATGAAGGCATCACACCTTTGTTTGTACTGCTGCTGTTCCAGAGGTGTGAAGCACTTTGAATTGCGTTGTGTCTGAAAGGTGCTGTAGAAAGAAACCTGGGCTGAGACCACAGTCAGCTGCTTAGCTCTCTGATACAGGTGCATTGCTAGATAATAAACATCTAATAACCTGTTGTTGTTGTTGTTGTTCCAGGTGAGAGACCGTTTGTATGTGACTCTGGAGGCTGTGGCTGGTCCTTCACCAGCATGTCCAAACTGCTCCGACATAAACGGTAAACAATAAA